GATTAAGTGCATAGACTTTATGTATAAAAAAGCTTGTAACGTTATGTTGAATTAATTTGTTTAGGAAACATAGATGGCTATTTGAAATTTAGGCACTTTGTAAAAAATGAAATTGTTGAGTATCTATAAAACTGACCAGTGACCAACGCTTAAGCTTAAAAACGCGTGTTTATGCGCTTATTTTAAAAAGCAGACTTTTTAAAGTGCTTTTCTTTTAAACGCCCTCCTCTAGCCCAATGTACACACATCAAAAAAAGTTTGCGATCAATAGCATAAGCTCCTATAATTCTTTAAATTTAACTTTATCAAGAAAAAATCTATGTTATATGCTTTCTTTAAATAGGAATACCCTGTTTGAAATTAAAATATAAAACTATTTTTTATTATTTATTTTAAAAAATTGAGCCATTAATCATAATGTAATAGTAATAGAAATTTCATAGAAAGAAAAAGACTGTTTAATTAAACTTAAACAACAATTTATTATTAAAAGGTGTGAATTCAATATAAAATAACTCCTCCCCTGGCTCGAATACATGCGAAGATCCTCCTGGGCATGCTGAGGATCAAGTTATCCAGCATTTCCTGGGGTAACCTATCCCATTCTTCAATAGCGGCTTCCCTGAGCTCTGGAACTGTCTGGGGACGTGGCTCACGGTTCCATACTGCTCGTTTAAGAGCATCCCACGCGTGCTCTATTGGGTTTAAGTCGGGCGAGCCGGCAGGCCAGTCTAATCGTGTGATATCGTATTCTTGAAGAGCAGCATTGACTCGTTGAGCTCGATGTGCGGGCGCATTATCATCGACCGGTACAAATTGGTGCCCATGGTTTACTCGGAATGGTCTGACGATATCATCAATAGCAACTGCTTTGTACATGTCTGCTGTCATGAAGCCCCGATAAGGGATCAAAGGCGTTCTAGCTCCAATCATAATGCCACCCCAAAAGGACACCGATTTTCCGCCTTGCTGAACTGTTCCAGTGGCAGTTCTTTGTCTTTCACGGTCGCTTGGTCTTCTCCAGACACGGACACGTCGGTTATCTGGATGAGTGCTGATTCGGGATTCGTCAACGAAGAGACAGTTTTGCCAAATGTTTTCGTCCTCACCTTCTTCATTTTGCCGAAGTCTAGCCCACTGCAATCTTCGTTGTTGACGTTGCCGGGAATTGAGCGGAGCTCGCCAAGACCTCCGTGCTCGTAATCCAGCCTGGTGCAAGCAATTGCGAACGGTCTGCGTGCTAACTTCAAGCCCAGAGGCGGCCCTGACTTCTGCTTTTATTTTAGTGGCGTTGATTGTTGGATCACGGGCTGCCAGAAATCTAATATAGCGCTTTTGGGCAGCTGTCAAAACAGTTGGGCGACCGCTGCGGGGTCGGTCAGCTAAATTCCCCATTCCGTGATACCTCTGCAACGTAGCCACGACACAGGATTGGGATATAGCAAGTCTGCGTGCTATTACTCTCGTGGTGTATCCTTCTTCCCTCAAAGTTACTATTCTAGCTCGTAAAACCTCTGATAATCCTCTTGGCATTTTTTCAATCACAACTTTCCGCGAAAAATATCTTGAATCGCTTATAATTGACTAAATCAGATTTCTGAATGAGCGTAAGCTAGGACTGAAAGCCTTTTTATAAGAAAAAACAATTGAACGGGGTCATTGTTTTATGTTCTAATTTATTTTTAAATAAAGAATCTAAAAAGAAGAAAAAATCATAATATAATCTACAGTAACAAAAAAGATTTCAGTTTTTCGAAGTGATCGCAAACTTTTTTTGATGTGTGTATATAATGTAGTACGCGCTCGACCGTTATCGTAGATAAACACTGTCGAAAACGCGAAAAATGCATAATTGTGCCATTATAAACTGCAAAAGCACCATAACTGTGGGTAAACGAGTAAACAGGGACGTTTCCTTCCGCGGACTAGTGATTTTGTAATCAGAAGATGCATAATTTATTTTAAAAACAATTATTTTGATTTTGTATGAATTTCGAGAAAACAAATATGCAACCGAGTGTATGCCTCATGATTTGTAATGGGTTCGACTCCCAGGCCGGGAGAAGTATGTGTATGGCCTACATTTATTTCTCTTTGGGTGTAATTTGTGGTTGTCTATGTGTGTGTCCATGGCATCCGCGATACAGGGTTTCCCTAGTTAGACTATGAGTGTGTAGCGTTACTATTATTATTATTATTATTATTTTATTGGAAGGACAATAATTTTAATATTTGAAGTCGATTAAATATTAGTGATAATTTTTTTGAGTAATCAAAATTTTCTTAAAACATGTAAAATAAACGACTTAACTATCTTATTCTAGCTATTTTCTACTAAATTAATATTACGACTACTTGTAATCAACAAATACTTGAACAAAAATTATTCTATTTAGAATCGATTAATTGAATGGAATACGCGTATTTACGCGTATACCGTTCATTCAATCGATTTAGAGCGAAAGTAGGTTTCTCATCCCTAAATAATTCTTGTGACGTCATAGTGGGTACAAAAAATATGGCACGCTTGGTTTTCATATAAATTGCCGTACTTGCGGCGGCTGCGTCTATCTAGAATGTCTGTGGTAATATGCGTTTTAGATTATTGCAAGGACCCACTCCAGCTGACTGCCTGGGCCCTTTTTCGTTTTTATTTTCAGTAGAAAGTGTAGCGTAGCAAAATATGAGTGTTTTTCTAAAAGTGCGTTTTTAAATGTTGAAAGATTCTAAACTGAAATATAATTTTTAAAGAACAATAAAATGTTATTTATTTCAGGATAACAAATTGATTTTTGTGTAAAAAACGGCAAATTAGTGGATATCGTCGCAAAATAGTAGTCAGTTTGGTACCGAACTAAAATTAGCTTTTTTAAAAATTTTCCAATTCTTGAGGGCGTTCTAATTTTAATTTTTCTCTGTATTTTTAGTGCGTTCTGCCCCACTCCGTGGCATGATGTTGTCTGTTAAAAAGTATATGTGAAACTAAATAAGTGTTTAAAGTACTAATTGATGTGCATTGTGAAAACCCAGCCTAACGTGTCAGTTTAGCCACATTTTGTGGTCAGCCCTGTAGGTGACGGAATAAAATGTCACCAAATAGACATCACACACACGGGCAGTACTTAAAGAAAAAAGTTTTCTTATTACATTTTTAAGTCTTAGCACAAATAAACAATAAGAGTATATTCATAAATTATGTTTGATCTATTTAAAACAAGTATAATAAACTAAAACTTTAATCATAAGAAGATATAATATCACTTACCTGACTCAAAATACTGAACACTTGCCGAAACCAACAAAAGATCCTTGTCACACAAAAACTTTGACAGAACTGGCCGAATTTTCAATGGCGGGCGTTATGTTCGTTGGATAGGGTTGATATTTTTAATAAAATTTACTAGTTGGGTAAAAATATAAAACAACTAGTGACGTCACCAAACTGACACGTCTGACGGGTTCAACTTTATAATATTTATTTATAATTTGATTTTAATCTACTATTGTTATAGTTAAAATCTTATAATTGAATTCATGTGACGAGAGAAATAGTACTTAAATATGGGCTAAACTTTTTGACATGTGTTTCATAGAAAAAATTTGAGTAACACCAAGTTTTTGTACCCATTACTGGTCAAAAACGTCTGGCCTAATCACTAAAAATATTTATAACTTAAACAAAACTATATTTTTACTGGAAATATTAATTTAAAACATTGTTTTCACCATTTTATTCAAAAAATAATGCAACCGTTCCTTAATTACGTTGAGAAATAATTGTGAAAAAGTGGGACAGGCGCAAAACCCGGAGTACACTAAAAAGTGAAAATGCCCATTTGCCTTAGAACATTGTCATGTACATGCCTTAAGCCCGGCCTCCACTAAAAGGACGGCGCGGCTAACTTCGTTAAACATTTACTAGAAATAAATTATAGTTTACGAAACTCTAGTGCATACGAAATCTTACATTTTTTTGTGTTTTAAAACAGAGGGAAAAAATGAAATACAATGAGGGATGTGTAATAAATGAACGATTGAGTGTTGCGTCATCACTTTTATTGCGGGTATTTTCAAATTATAACAATTGTAATAGTGGGGGTAGTGGGGTATAAATATAGTCAACCGTTTTGAATAAGGTCATTCTTCCGCCGTGTGTCAAACAACAACTCTCCTGAGGGTGCGTGCGAAGAGGCGAAACATGTGCAGGGTATATTTTTGGTGGTACCTATTGCTTGTGATTGTAGTTGCGTTTCTTAATTGTATGCGTAGCGAGGGTAGGAAAATTAACTGTATGTAAAGAATAATACAATCGCAGCTATTTTGCATGATTTGACTTTCCTGGGTTCGCGGGGTAGTAAATTAATCTACTTGTAATTTTTTTTTGATACGTTTCAGTTTACAGAACAAATTTGAACGAAAATATGCGTTAACAATTTTTCTCTTCCAGATATCAGTTACCGCTAAAGCACTATTTGAAACTTTGCCCTTGTTTTGGTTTACTTTAAGAGGTGCCGGCTTATTCTTAGTCGTCAACTTGGGTAACAAGCATGCATTCGAAAAAAGGCCGCTGTTACGAGGGTTCAACTATGTATGTAAACACAAAATGTTCGGTAAACTAAAACAAAATGTTTCGATAGTGGTGACCGTCAATTTTGATTTGATTGACTGTTCAAGAAAAGGTGACTACATTTGCTTTCTTGATGGTGCGAAAGCTAAGAAAAAGAAACATACGCGAGCAAAGGTTTTGAAGTCTCCGGTAGTGGTTATAGTGTCGTCGTAGTCAACCGAAAGTACATCCCACTGCTGACTAGGGGTCTCCTATGGAGAGTGTTTAGACCATAGATATAGAAAAAAAGGGTGATATGTAATGACGCTATGTAGGATCGGGTACCGATGTCGCCACTTTTTAGCTTGTATGCAATTCAAACTTTACGCTCTATTATTTACTACCATAATTTAAAGATTTTGGTTGGGTAGGGCTTAAAACGTGAAAACGACGTAACACAATTTTAAAATTTAACAAAATTAAACTTACAGTCACTTGAGTAAGAGTTATATTTCAATATTTCAGTATTTTTTTCATCCTGGTTCAGCCAGTCACCATCAGGTGGCGTTTTAGTAAAAATGCTACTAGTATATAATAGCTAACTATTACACGTCAGATGGCGCTGAAACTCATTTTTCGTTACACTAAGAACTCACGGAGCGGTTTTCAACCACGCCTGTCACGGGACCGCGGCATCTTTAGAATGTGGTAGTTAAGTATGTAAAATTAGTTATTAGTATTAAATTAGTTAGTAGTAGCACATTTCACGGCGCGTTTTACGTCTGTAGTTGTGACGATTGCTCGCGGTTAGCGCGGCGGGGTACTACTAGAACCGCGCAGGACGCGATCACCTGCGCGCTTGGCGTGTCGTTGCCCGCGCACTTTGGCGGTCGTTTCAGGCGTATTGTGGTGCAGGCGCACGCGGGATGAGCTCTATTAACCGCGCGACTTGCGATTATCTCCCACTAAGTTCGCGGTCCGTTCCGCAATCGCAGCGGCGGCTTCGTGCCCGCATAAACTTGCAGGGTCGTGAGTATTGAAATAAAACCGCTGTCCCGCAGCACCGGCGGGCGCGAATGGAAACCGCTCCGTGAATTGTTAACCTTATTAACCTTAAACTGACGCTATTCAACGAGTGATGTGGTCCTACCTAATCGATAGTTACACACCATGTGGCTGTTTTTAATATTAAAAAAATATTCCATTTTTCATACTATACCTAGACTGGTACTGGTGTATTATTAAATTAATATAAATTATTATTATTTTCTTAGTGGCGGCCACTAGGCTTGGGCCAGTGTCAGTTTTATACGAAAAATATAAAAAATATGGCGATCGTGGCCAGTGTCAGTTTGCCATTATACGTTACATTATACGACAAAAAGAAAACATTGAATAATTATAGAAATAGTGACTAAAAGTGCAAATTGCCGGTGGAATGTTATCTTACTGGTTTTAAAATTTTTGTTTCACTCAATTTTTACAAGGTGTATCGCTACAACTTGGCATTTTCACGTTTTACGAGAGATCTTGTATGTACAACGATCACCATGTTACTGTGGCGATATTTGTAGGCGTGTCACCTCGATACGAACCACGCCCCCATACCAAACCTACCCTTTTTTCTATATCTATGGTTTAGACCATAGTCGGCCACGCTGGCTAAAAGCGGGTTACGGACTTCTCACGCTTTCAAAGGGTTGTGATTTGCCACGGGCGAGTCGAGTTACTTAACTCTATTAACTCGAGTTACTCCCACAACGAGTCAACTCGAGTTACTTTTT